ATATGAAGACTGAGTAGTAAAAACCTTCGATAATTTTTGTACATGTATCGAAAGTAAAATGATTGTGCTTTTTCGGCAAGATCAGACTTGAATACTTTCCAGATCCGCCAGCTCCAAGTCTCCGAAGAAGAATTCTTACCTCTTAAGTCAACAACATTGAAAATGCCTTCATATTACCTGAACCATAATTCAAATGTGATACCAGCTTTGGTATCGAAGTGAAACCCGTTCATTGAATTGATCAGTGATTCAATTGTTAATCCGCTTGACTCGGACACATTTTCCTTGAATTGAAAACTTCTGCATCTCCATTCTAATTAGGATGCTTGAAACTCTTTTAGCTGCAGCAGCAGCAAAGTTGATTTAAGCTGATATACTAAAGTTTCATTTATTTTCGTGTGGGATCGACAATTCGTCGCCAGAAACTGTCATGATGCGCGATGCCCCAGATCTGAACGCGATACGTCCTGATCACCCAAACTTGCTACTTGAGCGTGAAGGCAAGAGTGGAAAAAAAAGTCTGCTTGGCTATTAAATAATATACACAAACTCATTTAAATATATACACCCATTTTTGGCTAATGATATGCATTAGCCCTTTGGGACATTTCTAATTGTCATCAAATGGCAATCCTTAATATCAATTGTTACTTTTTAGTAAAAAATTGACATACTCGTCTAGTAACTTCCGTTCCGCGAAAGTTTACATAAATTTGAGTCAACCAATAGCAACTTAACTAGGTAGAATCCAATTTACAATGTTTTCTTCGCCTTCCTCATGCTTCCCTGATTTGATATATATACAAAATTATTAAGTTTTTGATTACTACGAATAATGTTAAAATTCCTTGATATTCTTTAATAAAATACGTGCTTCACCGGTGTGAAAACTAAGACTGTAATCATGTGGTCACGAAACAACACTTGCAAACTGACTAAACAAAAAATAGAAAATATGAAATCCCAGTTTCGCTAGATTAAAAATTACATGTCAGTTCAACGATCGAACTGTGTTTATTCACTTCATGTCCCTATTCTTTTTGCTACAATGATTTTGGTTTCGAATATTCCCTTCAAGTTCAAAAACTTAAGTATTTATAAAGATTTGTTGGCAACTATATCAATAGTTGTAGTTTTAGGTTCTGTACACAATGAGAAACCGTCACTTTGCAAACCTTGTTCTTGCAGTTTGAATTTACTAAAGTATTTGGTTGTACGAACCAAGGGAAATTGGATTAAGATTGTCAAATCAAATAAGAAAGTTCTAACCATTGCGGATCGACTTAACATATTATAGAACAATTTCCCGGAGTACACGATTCGGTGGCATTTCTTGAGGTCAGTCACATGGACTATTCTGTTGCTTACTATAGCCGAATTTTATAGTAGAATGGCTGTTGGAGACCAGGCATATTGCTTAGCGAAATGGACCTTGAATTTCTGACAGCTGTGAATTTTGATCGCTTGAAACGGATATATGACAAAAATGATCGGTCACTTATCAGTCTGAAATACCGACTCAGACAAAATGTACCCAAACCAGTCTAATAACGCTACAAGATACTGTTATGAAGTTAAAGGTGTTGGCAAAATGACTTAGTGTAGTATCAGCATGTGTTTTGGAAATTCATTAATGAAATAGGTGCATGCTCCTGTCAATGTGGAAAAATATTTTCGTTTTGAACGTATTTGTGTACAACTACACATAGAACAAGTTCGCGATGTCATCAAAAAGCTAACTACTTTTGCCTAGGACTCAACATCTAAACCCAGTGTTTGGTAGTCTCACAATGCTATCTCTAACCGCATAGTTGTGTTTTGCTAATATCTCTCGATTTTGGTAGCTACATATATTGACTGCTAAAGCGCATACAACGTGTGACTTGTTCACTGTTAGATAACAAATCTGATTTCAAACTAGACTCTAAAATCCGTACTGCTGTACTGAAACTCATAAAATTCAACAGTACGTTTTCGTATCAAACGAAAGCAGCTAGTAATTTGGGGAAATTATCTTACAAACAATTACTAAACAATTCAGTATGAATTAGTTGAGATTGGAACACATGATCTCATTACGATGTGAACAATTTGACTCGTTGCACGGAATCAGACGACAGCACTATGTTACGCACGACAAGGACTGATAAATACTTACGAGGTTGGGACCTGCTTTAAATATCGTATGGCTAACAATACCTACAAGGTAAATCATTTTGAGGAACCTGTATATTTTTGACTAAGAATTAAAGTCGCACAAATAATAGTAGGATACTTGATCTATAATACAGTACAATACACTGACAAGAATACGTCAACCATCTGATCGTGTAATAGAACAGAAAAACAAACGAGGAAGCTAAGGTTCACTAAGAAAATTTTGGCAATTGCTAAAAATACAACAGCCTGAAAAGATTGTTGGTTTTTCTCTCAAAAACCATATATATGTATCAAATCTATCCACATGAAGGAACATACACATCATTTTCATCAAAGTTACAGATTATAACAAAAAAACAGAGAACTCAAAGGTTTTGTTGTAAGGGAAGCAAGTAGAAAGGTAATGTGGATATGATTTGATTACAGTTAGGTGAAGTATGTCAATTAGTAAGAGTCTAAAAAACGCAACAAAACTTCACTACAATTTAAGAGTGATCAAGATAGAGGTATACTATTCATGTATAATAGTTTGTCCAAATAATAATAATAGGCGAAACACAGCAGAATCAGGTGGATACGAAAGACAAGCAATTAATAGAGAGGCAATATAAAAGTGAGATTTATGTTTTAATGTGATAGCCTCCAACTGAAACTAGTACAACACGAGAAAATCGTAATCGAAAAATTATTTATATAGAATGGCAGCATCAAAAAGTTGATTAGCATTAAATTAAACAACCCATTAAAGTTAACAACATAATGAATAGATGGAACAAATGATTTCAATTTTATCAGGAATTAGACTGACAAATTGTCAACTACATTTAATATTACTTTAGATTGATAGAAGAAAAATCATGTGCAACGAAGGATTAGATATAAATGTATCGAATCAATTTCAGACAAAAAGCTGAGTTTTTAAGCTGTATATATATATCATGCTAACAATGTAAACTACTATTTTGCAACCGGGAGACAACCCTGACATCTAAACAGAATAAATACACAGAACGCAAAGAGAGAACAAGCAGTAAATCGATGCTGATAACAAACATAACTAGAAAGAATCCTGATCATTTTTATTACTATTATTATATGGACGACCTTGCAATTGGCTGAATTTACTAACTATGTTCCGTAAAAATAAGTAAACAAGAATAGAAGCACATTTTATTCCGTAGAAAGAAAAAAAGGAACAGACAGTAAGGAGTCATCAATCCAAAAGTCAAGAGCAATACCCCTTCAAGTTAGGTGCGTGATGGGAAGACCCCGGATGAAAATAGAAACAAAAGCAACTAATTACCACCGCTGGGCTTTAATGTAGGATATTGTTCTTGGTAGTATGGTTGTGGAGTCGATGGGTTGGCACCAGGGAACGCAGTGCTAACTTGAGGACACACCCAACGATTTGACCCTGCTGTCGATACACCAGGCATCCCAGTTAAGATACCAGAATTCCCGCTATTACTACCAGCACCGCTATTCCAAGGATACATATTTGCCATTGCGGCCATAGCTGCAGCCATTATTGATTGTTGATGCTGTTGTCCTGCTACACCATTAACAGCTGGTATAGTGTTTGGAAGCAGAGCTGAATTATTAAAGATGTTTATGTCATTTGGATTACAAGGAGGAACTTTCATGGGTGGACAGGTAACAGGGAAGTTATTACTTAAGTTGTTAGATGGCCACATGGGAGGAGGCCAGTTAACCGGTGAATTTACTGTCCCAGAAGTCCCACTTACTAAGTTAGAGTGTTGTTGTTGTTGCTGTTGTTGCTGCATCCAATTCATGGTAAACGCCATTAATAAATTATTAGCATTAGAATTGACCGAACATTGTTGAGGAGAAGGAGCTTGCGGGTGTATCGTTGCTAGTGGATTGCCCACTGCTGGCGCTGCTGAGTTGACAGGTCCAGTTAGATTATTGTTATTACTATTGCTCGACATATTGGGATAGACTAAACTCGACGATGTGACAGACGTGATAGTATTGGCTTGTCGGCGACGCTCAGCACCGATTGGCTGTATCGCAACGGGATGGTTTTGAACAGGACCCTGTGCTGCACTTGATGGAATACCTAACGGAACCCCAACACCTACTGTTGGAGTACATGCTGTCCCAATATGGGAGGAAGAACTGAAACCTAGAGTGAAAGTGATGCAAAAAATTAGTCATTATTTCAACGAAAATAAGCTCCCTACAGAAGATGTTGATTGAAAATAGTACCCTATGAATTTAGTATAGTGCCGAAGAGTTTCGAATCCCTTTTATTAATCAGAGATAGTAATGGTCACAAAAACTATTTACAAGTTGGTCGAATTATTATACTAAATGATGATAATATCGGTAAGAGCTTTTAACAATAAAATCTAAAACTAGTCCTTATCTCAAGTGATAGGCCAGATAAGTGTAAAGGTAAAACATAACTAAAATCTCCAGAAATAAGTATAGTTAGTGAGTAGACAGAAGCAAGAAAACAAGTTAAGAAATCTATGACACCATGACCAATAACACTGATGTTAAGCGATATTCAGCATTTGTAGGAATATTAATCATACGATTCATTTTAATGTTTGATATCAAAAATTATTCAAGGAATCATATTTATTTTTCAGTTTAGCTTCGTATCTAAAATCACAAGAACTGGAAAACCACGTAACATATCTACTTAAAATGCAAACATGCATTAATGTGCTGTTATCTCCTAGCTATAATATCAACATGGTAACAAATCTTATTACAACTACAGTAATCTGGTACGAAAGTCTGAATAGCAGATTGTACTTAGAACTACTAAATCTAGGTATCATTGAAAAAACATTTCTACATAAATTCATGCTAGAATAACCAAGTATATTAACATATTTCAACTAAGTGAAAACTGTACAAAGAACCTCAGAAATGTTGATTTAAACCACGGGATAAACAAATGAAATGTGTTCCATTAAGTAAGCACATGTATAAGGGTGCAAATCATATATATTGCAAGCTGGTTAATAGTACTATACAGTTGCGAAAAAACTTGAAGAACCAAGTCAGATCTATTATGCAATAGTTTGTTGCCTGTACAGCTGAAGAACAATGCTTTCTCAGCGAAGAAACAAACCACCACTCATAACTTTTAGGAAAGTACATACTGAAGCCCGCTGAATAAATAATTGTAATGTACTATTGTATGCAGCTCTAAAACTAGAACATACACCAGAATTACTGTTCGTAAAAAATATTTCCAGTGTTTACACTTTCCTACATAAACTTTTAGTTAAAAGTTAACGTCACAAAAAGGCTTAAACTATATCAATGAACAAAGTGTTTACCATTCAGCAGATGAGATGTATAATTTGTATTTGGATGGATGACTGATGCAGAACTACACACAGGTTGCATGCTGGGTTGAATGTAACCGGTCATAAAAGGAGGAGGAGTGTAAGATCCACCTGAACCAGATGAACACATAGAGAATTGTGTTTGATTGATCATAGGATGTGATGAATTGCCCAATCGAGTTGATAATCCACTTGTAGACTGTTGATTTAAGGCTGAAATAGTACCTGGACCTAAAGAAAGTTGCTGCTGTAATGGAAACGATTGTTGTTGAGTTATAGGGAATAAGGAAGAAAAATGATTATTCAAAGGCATTGCAGATGTTGATGGACAGAAATTACTTGGAAATCCATTTAATGCTGTAGGTCGTGACTCCAGATAGGCAGAGGTAGCAGACATCGGAGGCTTTAGCCGCAAAGATGAATTTAAAGCATTATTTGCTGAGGTTGTTGGTAGCAAATTAGGTGTGCTTGAAATGTTTAAACCTGGAGAGCAATTACTATTTTGAATTTGATGGTGAGAAGACTGCAGATGTGATAATCCAACAGGACTCGATTTTTGGAGACATGCTTGGGTGACCATTTGACGCAAGACGCCAGATTGAGCTCCTTGGGAAGAATACTGATCTTGAAACTGGTCAGATACCGGATGATTAGTAAAATCATTTCGAAGTAAGGAAGCCTGCATTAATGAATCAGCTGACTCAGCACTGGCCTTCAGGTTTGGTGCTACGTGATTAAGTGTCTGAAATGATGGTTGAAAAGCTATTGAAGTGGGATTCAGATCGGGTCTCGAAACAGACCACAATGTTGGTATAGAGTGGAGAGAACTAATAGGATCGCGTGTTTGTGATACGTTTGTAACAACTGGAACGGAGTTCATAGTTGAGTGACTGTCGATGACCGAACTACCTACACTAGTGGATGTGGTCAGCGTGTCGGAGGCTGCTGAGAATGTAGTGTTTTTCCCAAATGCAGAAGATGAATCGGATGCTTGCCATTCGCATGACCTATCAGGTCGAAAATGACTTGAGATTGAATCATGACGAAAATCAGGATTGTGTATGTCCGAAGTAATAGCCCGCTTCGTTGGTGTGAAAAGTGTAGTGTCACTGGCACCATTGACTGAAGTACTTATGTTACCGTTAACATCCAAGGATAAAAGAGATGGTGGAAAAGAATCAGTTAGACCAAGGGAGACCGAAGTGGCTGTTACATTAGCGTTTCTTTGATGCGCGCTGCGTTCGGAACCTGGAGCCCTAGCAAATGACTTCGTTTGAGTTGTAGTAGTAGGTGGTGTAGAAACATAAGCTGAAGTGTGTGTGCTTCCAGAACTCAATGGAGTATTTGGCTGGGAAGTGTGTACAACCCCACAGGTAGGAGAAATCGTCAAAGGTCCATAACTAGACGGTGATGTGGTAGGAAGAGTTGCTGGGGGGAATGAATTTGAAACGGATGCTGTATGAACGGTAGAAACAGGACTATCGAACACACTAATGGAAAGCATATATGTTAGGTCACTAGATGAGGTATTAATCTTATGTTTGTCCATTCCAAATGAAACTCCTTCGACAGGACAAGTAGTCACAGACGATGAGGAAACATGTGTGGTAGAGAGACACGAAAGATTTCTCACATTCGACACAGTAACTGCCGGGATTGTTGTCGTCGTGGCTGTTCTCAACTGCGTAACTTTGATGCATTTAGAATTTAATGGTGGAAAGCTAGCTTCGTCTAAAGAATCAGTACAGAAATCCCCAACATTAGAAAGTGATGGAATAAAGTCTGGAAACATATGGCTACTCGATGGGAACGGAGACAAATTGAGAGATAGTAATGAAACAGGAGTTGTCGTTGTTATGGATAAACCTGGAGTTGGTGCACTCATCAAGTTTTGGACGGCAGTTTTTGACTGACTACGAATACTTTTTACCACCTGGGTGTCTACTGGCTTAACGAGGCGTGACGAATGAGTACTTATCCCTGCTGCAGCAACAGAAGCGAAGTTACCCTTTGAGGAACTGGTATTTGCGACTTTAGTACTCCAACTCACTGAACCAGAAGTTGATGATTTTAGGCTGGAGAAGTTGGAAGATGTCAAAGGAATCAGAGTAGCTGTGGTGCTTGAAATTGTGCTATTGCTACTGATATTAGAGGTGGATATTGCTGGTGTTTTTGTGGGTTTGGGGACTACAGGCAGCGGAGTTGGTTGAGTTGAGGTAGATCTAGTGGTATTTGCAATGAGCGGATTAGTTAAAAATTTACCAGTTCTACGAGGCGTTTTGTTATTTGGGTTGATAGCCTTAACACTGGACGACCCACTTTTAATTGTACTTTGGACTGTTACTGTAGTCGCACCATGCAACTTGGAAGTAAGACAACTTAAACTAGTACTAGAAAATGGCATACTTGATGGTAGGGTAGAAGACTTTTTCAAAGCGTGATACATTAGTAGGACATCATTGCCAGCAATCGAACCATCAAGAAGTCCCTGAATAGTTTCATAGGTTCGCTGGACAGCTTCACTAGGACCTTTCAAATAAACCATTCGTTCAGTTACTTCATCACTTCGCGCACTTTCGATGTCTATTTGAATCCCACTCATATTTCTTAGGGCACTAACAACTGCTCCACCTTGACCTATGACTTTGCCAATATCATGTCTTGAAACGGGAATTGAGAGTCGACGTTTATAAGAACTGTTGCTAGAGTTGGTAGTTTTCCAATCAGCCATTTCATTACCTACACGCGAAGAAACGTGTGTGCTAAATGTAGTGCGTTGGGACCGTGTACTGTTAGACGGTACAACTACAGTCCATGTATTAGAATCACTGACAGTATTCGAACTCTTGCCTATATTTAAATACTGACCAAACTGCGCACTTTGAGACTCAATTAATAGGTTCCAGTTTTCATTAGCTCCACTTGGAGAAAGAGTGTAACATGGTGACAATGAGGAGTTAATAGGATCCTGAATTTCTGGGCTAGGTGATTTACTGGCTTTACTTAAATCGAAAGTATTGGTGTTTTCGGCAGCTGCACGTTTCGCCGCTCGTTGACTTTGTTTCTTGTTCCGATGTTTTTCACGTTTGGCTTCCGTTACAGCGGCAGCATTTGATTCAGTTTCTTGTGAACCAAAACTGTTATCAATAGAATCAGAATCCTGTTGAACATTGGGTTTTTCAACGTTGTTTACGAAAGTATCAGAATTAGGATGTGTATCTTTTGCAATATGTTTATTAGGTTTACTGGACTCTGGTGACATGGGTGCAACAGCGATAGGTGAACCAGAGGGATTACGAAAAGTAGAACATTGTCCATCATCTACATCACAAATTACGGCATCTGATAACTGATCGCACAGTGCAGATTCTTGGGCGTGTTGTAGAACACGAGATAGAGTTGGACTATGTTCAGTGCTAAAAACCAAACAAATAAAACATGGTTAGCTTACCATAGCAGACAAAAATGTTCATTTATTTATAAGGTTAAAACAAAACAATTACTATAGTTAAGGAAAGTCGATGCCGAAAGAAACAATCTGATTCATTAATTGAAGTTGACACGCTCTATGGGTTTTATGGCTAGGTAATAATATCCCCAACAGAAAAATACATTTAACCGTCTGAAGCTAAAAGATCATAACATGACGCTCTACAATAGTTTCAGATGTTTGCTTAACATTCGGATTCCCAGACAATGTCATATAAAGGAAACCGTTGAAGTAAAATAAATTTACAGATATATTATGCCATTTCAAACAACGAAGATTAACTGTGTTTGTATCCTCAAAAAAACATACCTAACTTCACAATCAGACAAAGGTTTTATAATATCTATCTGATACTGAAGGTGGGTTAAACTACAAAAGAAGATCTGGTATATAGCATTCACAATTATTTGTTTGGAATTGAAAAAGTATTTCGTTAGCTGAAAACCAAAATGTTCTTTCTGTGAAAAGACATTAATCTGTAAAAACGCCAAAAGAATTCTCTAATGTTATTTGAGCATTCTTAACTTTCAAGACCAACTACTATAACAGTAGTCGTGTAACAAGTTAACGTACACAGAGGCTTCGTAAAGGCGAGTAAGAATAAAATCATGTGGGGCTAAAGTATAGTAAAAAACTAATCAAATTTAAGACAGCGTTTTCTGAATTTTTGTGCGAAATTCGTCCGTCCGTATGCTATAGAACAGTTTAACATGATGGACAATATCTGTTTTTAGTGAAAATCCTAACCCTAACTGTTAATCTTAGTTTATAACTCCATTTTGAACCAGATAAGCAGTTGGTATTTCTCAAGGTTTTTTTTAATAGCTTAAGAGTGTCATTGTACTATGGCTCCAATGATCATGAAAGATAGCGTAACAATAATGACATCTTTCGAAGTTAGCTTTAGAAATGCTGAAGAAATTGAGATATCAACGACAACCGAGCATAAAAGATGTTTTAACGAAAAACGTCCTTAGTTGAAATTTAAACAGGATTACCAGAACAAGAGGCAACGAAGAGGAGAATAAAATAAAACAGGGCTATTAACTTTGGTAATACCGTACAAAAAAGCTGAGTAAATACAGATTATTAATCCTCACAGTAGGAAAAGTTATGTTCAAACATCAAATCCTACTGGAAGGTTTGCCTAAGTTGAAAGATGCCACTGTGAAGATGACACCATACGCTTAGTAGATAAAACGTAGAAATATGAGATCAACTAATCAAGGGGAAGTAGTAATCGATAAAAACTGAAACTGAGCCCACAGAAGCATAGCGCAAACTATCAACCGAAGAGTAAAAATGAACTAGTTTTTGAAGAGGACGATTATACATTGCCTTACACATATTTCAAACTGGACGTTCTGGTGATTTTGACTATCTTAATGTGTTAAATAGCGTTTTCATATACGCAGACCTCAGAAACCCAACATGATTTTAAACCATTTGATAAAATCAACAAAAAGGGAGGGTGCTGTTTATCACCAATCCACAAAAATTTTAATTAGACAGAAATGTTCAAACTATTTCTAGCTTAGATAAGGTGAAAAGTATACAGTTACTTATGTACTTGTGTACACTGATGAATAAAAATGAATCTAGAGAGCACAACTGATTCTATTCGTGAATTATGAACATACACATATATCAATGATAAAAGATAACAATTAGTATATATGGATGACTGGTTTAGTGTTGTACATTAAGATCAGAATACGATCATAATAGTTTAAAGGAAGATGTATAATTGAGAAAAATTTGAATATTGCTGATTAAAAACGCACCTTACGTAATGAAACGTTTAAATACACCCTGCTTTTATCTCTAAAATTTATAAAAACGGATGAGGGTACACGATTATAAATGGTTTCTTCGGTTTTACAGAGCTGCTAAGAAACAATTATGAGCCTTAGAAACGCTCAAATAAAAAACAGGATTAGTAATATTTTGATTGCCCATCTAAAAGTTTGTTTAAGCTATCCTGCTTTTAGATTTCGCATTATTAAACTTGAAATAAGTAGTGCATGAAGTCAACAACAGTTCACTATCTTATCTGTTATGAATAAACACGTTTGTAAAGTATGCAAACCTTTTTTCCTTTCGTGGGAACATATGAGCACATACCTAGCAAATCGAACTTTCTAGAAGGTCAGTGTTTTTAGTCATCATTATTTCTCTGTTGATAAAAACTTCTTAGTATGCCTATTCAGGTTAATCGATCACGATTATGAAATGACTAACTATTGATTTTTGAGGTATCGTTCAATGGTGAATAAGGGAGCAATTTTGTACTTAATCACAGGATGTTTACGTGATTCAGAACATAGATATCAAAAAATATGGCACAGCTTTTAATCTTGATTTGAACGTGGAATAGGAGTAACTGGGATACCATTGAGGAAATTTATAAGTGAATATGAACAAACTGCTCTACACGCTAAAACTGTATATTTGCAATACTATTAAGGAATTATCGCTTGAATGCCTAAACTGTAAGCCTTTTAAGAGCCACTGATTATGTAAAGTTACGTGAAATGACTCAATAGCATTCCCTGCAAGGTAATGGCTATAAAACAACACCAGTAAGAGTATAGGATATTTGTAGGTTATTGGTTTTCGATCATCAGTGTCTTCCAGCACTGCTCGTATATCATGGGACAACCGAGTAAGTAATGCTGTTGTTAGGAGAAGGGTACCAGGTAAGGACGGTGAGTCAGCTGACGAAGTATTGAATCTTCATCAGTTGATGTGGTTGAGACATGTGTTACGTGTTAATGTAACCACCGAGTGCCCCGACGAGCGATGTTTTATGATGTAGGAATAGGTTGGAAGAAAGCTAGGGGCAGCCAAACCAAAACATGGCACAAATCCATGAAGTCAGTGACAAATCGATCGAGCCATGTTAGTATTAGGTGTAGACTTCCTGGTTAGGGTCCGCGAGACAATTGTAACTGCAGTTAGAGACCTTGAATGACATGGATTAAAAATCGTTTGCCATAGCACAGATGCATTCATCCTTTGTCTTTCCTCAAATTCTAATCTTCTGAATTCCTCATGACCGTTTTTAGTCATTTCAAATTTATTACACTTGATTATACTTTTTGATCCATATCCTTGATCTATAGTCTTTCCGATTACCGTCAATACTTCTACTGTCTCTGCCACTACAGAATTTGAATCGACGATTCCATCTCCCTGTGCTAATGTTGCATGGCAACTTGAGCTGATGTACGCACGTACCAAGTTCTACGTTGAAACTGACTGACTGACAGAACATTAAACCTGATGAGAAAAATAAAGTGATGCAACTTTGCATGTTGAAAACTGCAAGTATAAAGTATATATTTAAAGGGAAGTGCCACTGTTTAAACGATTAGAGGGAAGTTTATGAATTTAGCACAAACGAATACAAAACCTGTAGACATCAAAGAAATACAATGACTGTTCACTACACAAGACTCACCTAGATTGTTCATCATGATCTTGATTAGTATGTTTATTTTCATTGGTTTCAACAGTTGTATTACTTTGAGATGCATCCATATTGGCATCTGTATGTGCTTGATTTATGCCTTTAACCTGACGTTCTTTTTCTTGTTTTGCTTTGCGCTTCATGCGTTTTCTTTCTCGTTTTCGCGCTTGCATGGCTTCTCGATTAGCTCGTTCCTCTTCTTCTTGTTCAATTTGTTCCAAAAGACAGTCGGCATTCTTTTTGGCCTCACCTTCTTGTTTTTCTTTCGCAGTTATAATAATTTCTCTGCACTGTTGACATCGCTTAGCCAGCTCCTAAGTTTTTTAAAAAGAAGCAGAATCGAGATCACTAATTATAGTGATCGATATTTGAATAAATATTCATAAAATATGCACGACATGCTTCACTGAATGCAAATCAAATAGATGAGAGACGAATTACTGTAATGTTTACGATTATGAAAACATGTTATCCATAAGAATACATTAACGAAAGAACAAAGATATCACAAAAAATGGTAGACAGTGTACTCACGCAGCATACTAGGTACTCGAAAATAACATCAGAAAGCCATGAGAAAATACTACGTGAAAGAATATATACGCTCAGTTGGATGTCAAGACAGGGAATATGATGATTGAGTTACTACATACCAAAATACATAATAGAACTTTCCGTACGAGCATTCCAAACAAGTATGAGTAGATCATGAGATGAATACTGAATTTAAAAAATCAACCTTATGAAACGGAATTGATGCTTTTGTTTCTTTACAGTAAAATGGAGGCTTATGAAATCAAAATAATTCGCAGAGTAGAAAACTAGTAATTTACTCTGGGATCAGTAATGTATGAGAACAAGGAGTAGAGTTCAATACCCACTGTTCAGTCAATATACATAATATTGATTATTCATATATATGGAAAATAAAAATGTATAAAGCAGACCTTTTGAATATTTGACTTTACTCAAAAAATTTACCAAGTCACTTGCATTGTCAATATTTTCATTTGGAACAATTTCACATAATGTTAACTGTAAAGTTGCCGAATTATTCTATGCTGCATTTTGTCAAATTAACTATACTTAGTGATTGGAAGATATGCTTGCTATGAGAGGCGAAGATTCATAGTTCAATACTGACTGACTCGGATAGTAGTATAGTGAAAATTCCTGAATTGGATGAAGCAATCATTAAGTGTTTTCTGGCTACTGCTGGCCCGTAATTTACGATTTCAAGTTGGTCAAATACTCAGAACCTGTCTATATAAATATAAATATACAACAGCATTCGAAGTTCGCTGACGACTATACTAGATGCGCACAGATACAAGTAGTGTTTATGGTTAAACCCTATTAAAATTATGATAGCCAAAATTATTAAATTTCTTACCGGATTACAAAATGAACAGTTTCCAGATGAAAATGAATCAAAGCTAACAGAACATCCACTAGACGAAGAAATCCTATCCGTACTATGAATAGATGCGACATCATCCTCCAAAATGAAACTCTCATCATCATGTGTACTACTACAATAATCTTCGTTCGATATGGATAGTGCTTGTTTTGAGAATGTACAGGATAAATTAGTAAGCAGTAAATCCAAGTCTGGTGAGTTTTGAGAGGATTGGAAGCTAGCTGATATTGGATTTTCATCACAAAAAGTAAGAGGAGCAACATGATTAGGCGAAGGATGAGAAGTGTCGGTTAGCACATGAGGTTTCCAGCGCCTAAGTGTATATGATGGATTTTGCGC